TAAGCACCCTTCATGCCCTGAAGCGCCATGGCTAATTCTATATTCCAAACACTTCAGAGGAGCATAACACCAGGATATTAAATAGATCGCTGTCATTTTTTATGCTCATAGGTCGGTCACCTGACTTCTTTCTAACAAAAATCTTACCACCCTTTTGCCATGTAAACTGATAATGCATTTCGGTGGCCTTGGTTTTTGCAAGCCAGAGCAGTCTTTTGGTTTGAGCGGTCAAGTTTTCCATCAACCCAACATCAGTATTGTTCTGCTTAAGACACGTCCTATTTTCGAACCAGCGGTCTCGAGTCATTCTGGATGCAAAACGGATAAGAACTAGGGGTACCTTATCTGGTTTCCCGGGGAGTCTATGGATGGCCTCAATGTCTCCCTCTGTGAGCTCAGCAACGTCTAGCAGCTTTGCTACCTTATTTAGTCTGTTCAACAGGTTTTCATTCGATAGGCATGGGATACCATGCACCTCGAGGTTCTGCCTCCGACTGTACTTCTGTAGATAATTTACTTGTTGCCTCAGTCCTTCTATTACCGTTTGTGTCCTACTGTTTTCGATCTTTTCCACGCGTTCCTTCAGCTCTCTGATATCTTTATTTTGTTTTTTTTTTATTTCTGCAAGTTCTTCATCGTACTTATCGGACATGTGCTGCACAGACTGCTCGATCCTATCCACGGTTGCTTTGAAGAAGAAGGGCGTACAGTTATATTTTCATCTGTGCCATTCGGTTTTACCGCTTCGTCAGGCTTTTTCGAACTAGGCAGTGCCTTTTGTTTTTGTTTTTCTTTGCAGTTCGACACTTTCGACACTGCCATGATTCTCTCGTCTCTGCAGTCATTTTGTTCAGTGCAGCTTATACTATTTCTGAGCATTTAGGAGGTATTTTGGGTGTCATTTTTTCCGAGAACTATCTATGAGTGGAATCGATTGCCTCAGTCTGTGGTTGGTGTATTATCAAATGATGACTTTTTTTCTCTGTTAGATTACATCTAGCTTGATTTCTTTATATTAACTTGCATTCCCTTGCGTGGTTTAAAAGCTATGTTTATATGTATTGTTTAGGAGTTTCTATTTACTTCAATGGTTTATAAGGTGCGTGTGTTGTTCGAATGATTCATCTGCCGTGCAGCAGAGGCCTGACTGACATTGTATGTTTTTTGTATGTATATACCCCCCCCACACACTGTAATGCCTGAATTGGCGCTGTGAGTATTGCATAAATAAATAAATAAATAAAATTTCCCCTGGTGATAACCGAAGCTGCACCCTGAGCAAATAATGCACGTTTCACCCGATAAGGGCTATTTTACAAGTCAACCACACATCATCTTCCTCCGACATTGTTCGCCCTTTCTCCAACCCTTCTTTTGCACGAGCGATGGTATTAAAAATTTACAAACCGTAACAGCAGTGGAAGCAGTGGCAGCAGCGATAGGAAACGTTCGAAAGGTTTACGGAAAAACAAGTAGTTCCACCAACCTAAAAGATGTGAAGCAGCAGAAATTTGGCTGCGTGCAGATCACTTGCTACCGCTGCTGCCGCCGAGTGCGTGTGAAGATGTCTTGGGGCGTCACGACTTTTTGGAAGTGAAAATGGAAGTGACGTCGCGGCGACGTCCCTTCCACGCGCTTGGATGCGTCCAATTGTTGAAGTCCGGCTTTCTTTGTGCTGCTTGTTACGATAAATCAGCACACTTGTTCCGTGCGTGTGTCGGTCGAGTTGGCAATGCAGTTCACAAGGTATTGCCTGAAAGACGTAAAGCAGCAGAAAATTAGCTGCGTGCAGACCACTCGCTACCGCTGCTGCCGCCGAGTGCGTGTCAACGTGCCAACTTGACTCACACGTCTTTGAAAGTCCTCAGGCGCTGAGGAGATGCCGAAGGGAAGCCTTTGGAAACAGAACCAAGTTCTGAGCAGCTGCGACTTCTCAGCCAATTTCACTTGTCAAAATCCTGCTTTGGAGTCCAGCTTTAAAAAAAACCTTGCTCCAGCTAAGTGCCCCAGAGTTTCTTTTACCGATGGTAGGACAAGCTTCCCCTTTTCGATGGACTTGTTCAGGTTTGTTAAGTCAAAAGAAATCCTGACTTCCCCACATGATCTGGGGATCACCACCACAGCTGAGCCCCAAGGGGTCGGCTCGACCACTTTCTTAATAATGCCGTATTCCTCTACCTCCTTTCGCTGGGCCTTGACCTTGTTCAACAGCGCCAAGGGCACTTTGCGTGATGTGTTTACTGACACTGGGCTTGCACCTACCTCGTGTTTGATGGTGTAGTCGCCTTTCATTTTCTAGAGTCCGCTGAACATTTCCGGATATTTTACTTTGTACTTTGCGTCTGCGTCTGCGGTGTCCACCTGCAGCAGCTGTACAATCTTGAGATCCGTGCTTGCCCGAAGACCTAGCAGAGGTTGTTCTAGCCCTTTGATAACGTACATCTCCTCTCAAGCGGTGTTCTTTCCACAGCTGAGGGTGGATTGAACCTTTCCTAACACCTTCAGTGGCCGTCCACCGGCACCGTAGGCTTTCACTGCTCTGGGGCGCACTGCACTCACATCCGTCACGGTTCCCAGCGGCGATGCATTTACATCTGCCCTTGTATCGATCTTGAAAATGCTAAATTTTTCATAGTCGCTGAGCTCTTTTCTTTATGCTGATGCATTGCTGCCCTCCGTGAGTGCATCCAGTGACCCTCTTCCAGGCAAAGGTTTCTTCTGGTCTGTGGTGACTTCCCGTGGAGTTTTCTCGTAGAACATTTTTTGCCAGTGGCCTCTTTTGCCAAATGAATAAAATTTGGACGTGAAAGCTGGACAGTTGCTCTTTTTGTGCAGTCCTTGTCCGCCGTACCTCCCGGAACCGTGCGGTGGGCTCTTCCATCTCGCCTTCTTGTTTGTTGGGTCTCCGGAACTGAAGCGGCCTTTCTTGGACGCTTTCCGGAGGGCGTCGACAGACAATTTTGCTGCGTTTTCCTGATGCAGGTCAGCCTGTTGTCTTCGTACGGCTTCTTTTTGTCTTGCCTTTTGGACCGCCGTCTCGAGGGTGAGTGCTGGATCACTCTGCCACGCCTCTGAGTGCTTCGCATCTTGCAAGCCAACCACCAGGTGGTCGCGCTCTAGTTCGTTTTTTAATGCGCCTTAGCCGCAATGGAAGACCACTTTGTGTAAGGCAGTTACGAAAGCTTCGACTGTTTCGCCGGGTTCTTGCTTGCGTTGGTGAAACCTGGCTCGTTCATGGATGACGTTGCTCTTCCCGATGCGATGATTTTGTAACACTTCGATCACCTTGTCGAAGTCCGCCTTGTCCTCTTCTAACAGCGCTGCTGCAGCGAGTATGTCCTGCGTATCTCCACCCAGACAGTAAATTAGAGCGTCCACTTGGGCTGGCACTTCGTCTTCGACTAGACATGAGACTCTGCTGTTCCTGACGAAGCGGTTCTACCAGGCTGTCCACTCCTCTGGGCGTCGGAAGTCAAACGCCGTTGGTGGCTGGAAACCGAGGGTTGGCTTGTTGGACCGTAGCTCGCGCTTCGCCATGTTTGCCTACAACGAACAATGGTAACCAATTCGTATACCCTCTGCTCTATCGGACACCTCTTTTTCAGCTCGCTCTGAACGTCGCTTGTCGCCGGCCCTTTCTAATGTCGTAGCCGTCACTACCCCATGTCCTGATATCATGTCCGTGATAATTCTGTTTGACCACAAGGAGGGAGACGGAACAAAGCGACCGACACCGGCGAGCTCAGTCACACACACGCGCTCCAACTAGCTTCCCCCTCTCGTGGTTTTATTAAAACACATCAACGTGAATATTGCCGCGGTCGCAGCTGACCAAGTAGGCAGCGCGCCCGTGGCCTAACGGTTATCGCGCTTGCCTTCTACGCAGAAGGCCAGGGTTCGATTCCTGGCAGCGTCCACACATTTTTGATGAGGCTGCAATGTGATGTTCTGGTAAAATTGAGAACCGTCTTGGCTGTCGAGGTTAGAATGTTCTACACACCGAACCTTCTACGCCGCATGTTCCAGAAGCCCAAGCGGGTACAAAAGGGGCTCCGCGTGGGAAGCCCGGGCCAGTTTTCGCCCCAGCGTTCGATTCTGCTCTTTCGCCGACTTCCACGCCCGCGACGCTCTGCTGTTATCTTTTGTTTCCTTTTTATTTTTGGGCACAAGTTCGCCCCCATTTAACGTTTCAGTTTCCCCAGTTATTCTTTGTTTCCTCGCCTGGCCATTTGTGACAATATTACCACAAGAACGAGCTCACATTAATAGTCTGCTAAGACCGGGAACCTTAATGGTGCGGAGTGCACGTTGCAGAACTATAGAATCTCGCCGTCAGCACGCGCTCAGCAGTCGCGCAGAAAGCTATGGCGGCTGGTGAATACCCCCTATAGGACTATCTGGTGGATTGTGTCGCAGCATTGGCTGTGATGTGTCTCCTCAGCTAAAGAGAATTGCAATGAAAGAAGAACGGGAACATTACTTTTTCCAACACTGGAATTAACCATGCGACGTGCGAAATAGAATGGGCCGAGTCATACAGGACAGAATATTGTAAGCAACCAAATTTCCACGAGCACCAAAGGTTCGCAAATCTTGCAACTTGTAATTATAGCAAAAAATTAATTGCACGAAGATAGGAGTCCCTTCTTACAAATATATAGCATATCACTTTAAATCACGAAACTTGGGGCCTGAAAAGAATTACTGAACTCCACTCTTTTTTCAGGTTTGTGAAATAATACGCCAGTGAAAATAAAGTTCTTAAGTGACCAAGTAATTCAGGACAGGCCCGGAAGTGCTATGGTTTGATCCTGCAGCGACGAATTTGACGGAACACGCGGAAAGGAAAGTTGATTTTACATCACTGCTCCGTTCCAACACTCTTCGCGGCATCCGCGCGTAGGACAAAAGCTTACGAATGTAACCGGCACATATTTCGTCGGAGATTTCTAGCCGAAAGCGGCGATGCATTGCGGCGTTGTATCGCGGCGTGGACGTACCGCTCTTGGGAAGGATGGTGGCCCTGTGCAGGGTGACGTTCTCAAATACTACGGGCAACTGGGTGTATGGCTTGCCCGACCGCTTGGCCAGGAACATCCAGGCCAACACCATGTATCCCGTGGTCGGGAACAGCACCCGCCCGTCGACCTGGTGCCCCGCCAGGTAGCCGTCGTTCTCCCCGGCCTCCAGGTCAAAAACCTCCATTTCATCGGAGTCCTGTGAGACGGAAAGGACGAAATCACTTTCAACCCGCGAGCGAAATCTACGCGACACTATCAGAGTTTTTTTTTCTGCTGCAACAAAAAAAGGTATAGAGACACTAGCTAATGAATATCTGTCAAAACTATCAAAATGGTTAGAACTGAATCGCTTATATTTAAATACAAATAAAACAAAGTATGTAATTTGTAAGCCGGTAAATAAACGAGATGACAGCACTGTCCACATAATATTTGAAGGCATAGTACTGGAGCAAATGACAAACAAAAAGTTTTGGGGTTTATGGTTCGGTGAGGACCTTTCATGGACAACACATATCAATCTGACTTATCTCGAGTGACTGGGTGTATTTTTAAAATAAAAACATTTATTGCCTACTAGGCTTAAACAGATCTTGCACTACTCACTTTTTTTTTCCAAAATGAGCTATGGCATTATGGTCTCGGGTACAACGGCTGGTACAAACTGCAATAAGTTAATCCTACTGCAGAAGAAGATTTTACGTATATGCGAAAATTATAAACGGATAGAAGGGATCTACGCACACGGCCACTATTTATCAAATATAATATGCTGAAGGCAGACCAGATATATTATTTCAAACTCCTCCAATGGATACAGGTAAACAAACTTGACACCGCACCAATAAATAGTTTGAATCCATACACATTACGAGATTCAAAGCGAAAGATGCCAGCCATAAGGACGAACTACAGTCGGCAAGCCTTCACCTATCAGATAACTAGAACTTTAAACAGAACAGATATAGGCATACACTTTGATCAAGCATTATATACTTTCATAAAACATTGCAGAAAAATGCTGTTGTTAAACGACATTGCATATTCAATTGTATGTGCTCTCCGGTTTAGGATGTGTCCACCATATAGTTTATTTGAACTAATGTCCTTTTCGTAAACTGTTCAATTTGTTTCTTTTTTTTTTTTGTTGACAGATTGTACTTTTTTTTTAAAGTAATGTCTTGAGAGTGTGATCGCAAAGATTTTGTGCATTTTGGTATATCTCGTAACATTGGCGTGACTGATGTTCTGTATGTCTAGTGTTGCTTTTTATTTCTTCCACAGTTGTTCCAGAGTTATTTCATATTTGTTCCATAGTTGCCTTATATTTGTTCAATAGTTCTTTCTTATCTCGTAGACCGTATATATTGTGTTGCTGAACTTTAAGGAGCGGCAGAAGCTCCGTCAGGCACCATGCCTTTATCTCTGCCCCCCTACGCGAAAAAGATCCCCAAACAAATAAAGAAAAAAAAACGGCTGCCGTATCGCGACCGGTCGGAAGGCGACGCATTCATTTCGAAGGGACCGAGTACGTAGTGCAGCCTTGGGACCGCTTACGAAAGGACAGACTGGTGAATTCCGTCGGGTAGTCTTGGCATACTTACAATTTGAGCATAGTTTCTAATTTTTCATGCACATCACTTTTTTCACTCTGGGCTTTAAATACTTTTGATACTATTACATGTGACCACTTGTCATACATGTGACCACCTGTACATACATTAGATCACTCAGATATTACAAAACCTTTTAACTTATTTATTCTGTTTATTTTCGTACACTGCAGGCAGCGGCGCTGCCCAAGCAGGGGAGGGTTACAAAAGGAGTTTATTCAATATATGTTCGAATTGGTTGACATCAGTACATTCCACAAGCAATGACGGCAAGCAGTTCTATTGTTCAATTGTGTTAGGAAAATATGACTTCTGAAAAAGGTTAGTTCTAGCATAGTATGGGCATATGACTTGGGAGTGATTTAGTCTAACTGATTTTTGTGGCACAGGAGGAAGATAAGTGTCACTTGATAGACCAGGTGAATTGTTATAATGTAAGTAAAGAAACTTCAGCCTAGGGATTTGTCGGCGAACGTGGAGCGGTTCGAGCACAGGCTGCTTTAAGAAGTTGGGTACTGATGATGAAGTGCGGTAGTCTGATAGGATGAATCTTGCAGCGAGACGTTGGATACACTCCACCTCCGCAATGTCTTTCACAAAATACGGGTCCCACACAATAAAGGCGTACTCTAGAGCTTGGGGAACTAGAGAACGATAAGCTACAAGTTTCACAGCCGAGTGACACCCTTTGAGTTTTCTTTGAAAAAAGCATAGCTTTCTGAACGTTTTGGCACATATGTTGTTGATGTGCTGGTCCCATTTGAGGTTGTTTTTAATTGTTACACCTAAATGTTTCACTGAGGAAACTTCTTGAATGCACTGAGTGCCAATATGGTAAATGTAGGAAAGAGGCTTTTTTGTAGTCAGTGTCATTAAGACGGTTTTAGGGAAGTTAATTTTCATTTTCGGAAAATCGCACCAGTCCGCAAGTTCACCAAGGTTTTCATTCAATATAGTCTGACAGGAAGAATTTTTGACAAGAGTATACGTTACGAAGTTGTCCGCGAACAATTTTACACTAACGCATTTATCAATATTTATGAAATTGTTGTTAATATAAATCAACTGTAGTAAATGGAGTTCCAGGTCTACCTCATAGAAGGTAAACCTGGAGCCAGGTCTACCAGTTCTTTCGCTACAGCAAACCGCCTTAACGCCGGTGTGGACGGCCCTATCTTACCGGCCTAGTTCGCCGTAGGAAAATTCTGCACCCAAGGGAGAGTGCTTTCGACGTGCCCTCGCATCTTCTGCCTCGAGCTCTCCACAGACAGAACCGCGCACCCTAATAAATTTCCGCCGAGATACCGACCCACTAGCTACGCAGACTGGACACGCCCTCGCCCAACAAAGCCGCCCGACCACCAGAAACACATTTTTGACTTGCCGCTTGGCTTCGTGCAGGCAGCGAGCCTCCCCTCGCACATATAACTCTTCATTCCTTTCTACGTCTTTCCTTGTCTGTCCTCCCCTAACCATCATTTTATGACTAGGACAGGGTGTATACAATATTGATTCTCTCAAATTGTGTGACGTTACCGGGTTTTTGTCGAATATTTCGATAAAACTCCCCGATCAATACGAATGTGCAGTAGATGGAGTTTCGGCGGATGTTCGGACTGTTCCTATTTATTTCGGAGAGTAGGGTGGTGGCTGAAGCAGCACAGTGTTACCTCGGGAAACTGTCGCAAGGCGTGAAGGTCATCCGTGCCACCACAAGCCTCACCGTCCCGCTTTGTTGCGTGTCGCTGCGCCGTCTTTGTCGGCTATTGTTTCCGAATTAACCAATTCTTGGATGAATTCCCAGACAGTTCTCAGGGTTTGCCAGATGCTTCAATATTCTTTAACAATACCAGATTTTCCAGGTTAAATAGACAGCTTATAAAGTCAAGCGAAACAGAAGCCCCTTTAATTTTCACATAAACGTTTCGATAACGGCATGGAAGCACGAGGCTGCACAACGCGCTTGGTTGCAACCAGACGGAAGTACATAGACCGGCCTTTCTCCGCGGGCACTGCAGCCACACTCACCTGTGACGAGGTGGAGAAGTCGCTGTAGGTGACCACCGACCAGGACTGCGAGTGGTCCCAGCTGACCAGGTGGGCCACATTGGGCGTACCCCTGGGCACGGGCCACGGCACCCGGGGGAACAGGGCCTCCAGCTGCAGGGGCACCCCGTAGGCGTGCAGCTTGCCCAGCGAGGTCAGGAAGAAGGCCGGCACGTCCGGCACGTCCCGCTTCATCAGCCCCAGACAGGTCGCCTACGGAACACACGCGCGGTCAGGATGACCACTCTGCCACCACAATCGTGCGCCATCGTTGCTATGTCTTTATTCTGGAAATACCACTACCGGTACTTTCTGGCTCGGGACGAATCAAGTGCAACCGTACCCTGCCAGAAAAAAAACAAAAAAAAAAACGCGGGACGTGAATTGGGTAAAGGCTGTTTGGAACACTTGGGACAGCCCACGATCGAGTGTGTTACGCCCTCTTAGGATCTCTCGCGACGAGACAGCACACTGGCACCATCTATAGGGCAGCCATAAAACACTCAACATTTCTGGTTTTACACTATTCTTTTGAGTGTGACTGAAACACCTTTGACAACGTTATAAATGTCCATATCTTGGATAGTATGTGTGATGTACCGGTAAATTTAGAATAATGCAGGACATATTTATTCAACTGTTAGGTCTGGTTTGGTCTGCGACCGCGCCCAGTCTGCTCTTTTCCAGGCATCACATTCTTCTCCGTGGCTCGCTTTCCACCTCTGGCGTCTCCGGTTGCATCAGCTTCCGCCGTTGCCAGGGACAAAGGTCCTGTTGGCTATGCGTGGCAAACACGCACGCAATAGATGTGTGTGTGTGTAGGCGTTTTAAAAGTAGATGAAAGGGGGGATGAGAGGGCCAATTGTGAATTCGCACCAGGCGCGTTGGTCACGGCAATATCTCCCAATTAAAAAAGCTTCACGTTCTCACAGGCCCAGTCGCGTAGGTGGTTGGCGCGTCCGTGTTGATTTTCTGAGAAGAAGAGGGATGCCCTCCTTGCCTTGGTCACGTGTGCATTCAGGCGGTGTGGCTGGCGAGCTTGAAGTGCCTGCCTCCGGTGTTGCACGATTGTTCTGACTGTCCTAAATCGTAGTTGCAAAGTCGTCACTGAAAATCGGAGACGGTGAACCGTTTCGCTGACTGATGTCGCGGGAAGGGGCAGACTTTTTCGATGTTCTTGCGCACCTGAAGCTATCGTCTTGATTCGGAGATATTCTCTCTTTACCCTTGGCTACATGTCTCAGCTGTTCAATATGGAATCAATAAGGCCAGTATCGTCTGCTCTAGAAAAGTCATAGTACTCTGTTTTGTCGTTCTTCTTTAACACTTTTTGTAGCTGATTAAGTAAGATTTACCACTTTATGCTACGAAATGCCCCCAAAAATATCAACATCCTTCACTCTTTCCACCAAATTCTGAGAAAGAAAAACTAAGTCAATAATCGAATCTCTTCTATCCGACACTCTCCTGTGTGCGTTTACTATGTGAACGAGATCATGGACTAGTGTTAACTCAATCAACGCCTGTGAGATACTGCAGGATGACTGTGTGCTCTCCCACTGGATATTAGGGAGATTGAAATCTCCAGCTAAGATAATACTTGAACTTGAGTGTACGTTTGTTAAGAAATACTGATTAACGTCCTCAAAGGAATTGTCGTTACCAGGTGGACGATAAAAAGTACCAACGATAAGGGAAGTAGAATAAATACTAATACGAACCCACAAGATTTCCAACCCGTCCATATCAGGCATGTTACGAAAACGTATATCCTCCTTTAAGATTATTGCCACAGCCCCGCCCCGTGTATCTCAGTCTTTCCATATCATTTTATGTTCGGGTGGAACTACTTCCGAATTCATTATGTTATTAGTTAGCCACGTTTCTGTAATAATCATGATATGTGGTTTATCTGATATAAATACATGCTCTATGTCGACAGTTTTATTTTTGATCAGGGATGGGCAGTATTTCAAATACAAGTATTTAAAATACGTATTTCAAATACTTTGTGTATTTTGCATTTGTATTTAATTAAAATTGGGTAATGTATTTGATGTGTGTATTTAAATACTAAAACATGGGTATTTCAAATACAATTGTAATTAAATACAATTTTGTAGGCGAAAATACATCCCTCAAATTTATTGTCATTGTCCAGAGTAGGAAGAAAACTACGTTTTGCACCGAATGCAGTGTCTCTCAATCAAGCACAAGCGTTTAGTGACTGTGATTACGGTGCTAGTCCAGGGCAAGAATAGTGACGAAATCGACCTGCACAGGCAGACTGGCTAAATAAGTGCCTGTGACAACTTGTGATGCTTTCCAGTCTGATCTCCATCCATATTTTTTTTTTGCCTGGAACATTCTAAATGCGCGGGTCGTCCAGATTTTCGTAACTGGTGCGAGTTGCAACAATAAAACATTTTCTAGCTAGTGCTGCGTGTCTTGGTCTTCTCGGTTCTTTGTTGGTCTATACCAAAATGTAATCGATAAAAAGAGCTGCTTGAAGCTTTGTACTTTTTTCACCTATTACGTCCAAGCTGATTACATTTTTTTTGTGATTATAATTATATTGCGTTACTAGAACCTCGCACACTAACTCCTGAGTGTGCGATGCAAAATTAAAATGAGGTACCCAGAAACCCGTTGCAGGTGCCCTGAAGTCGCTGACGCAAATTTTGAGGAATGTATTTCGAAAAGTATTTGGAGGGAGACCAAATACACTTGGTTGTATTTGTATCTTGTACTTTAATGCTTTTTTGGAAATGTAATTAGATTTATAATTAAATACATTTTTGACGAAGTATTTTGTATTTGTATTTCGATACATATTTCCATGTATTTTACCCATCCCTGTTTTTGATGCTTCTTGCATTTAGGTTAATAAGTTTTATGGCAGCATCAGGCTTTCGCTTTGACTGTCAGTTCTGAAAACCGCTGATTCATTGGAACCCTCGTTTGCCTTTCAAAATCCCAGACATAAAACGTGTTGTTTATTTCGAACTTATCGTACACTAGATTGACTTTATCGCGCCTCGTGCGGTTTTCGGCAACACTGTTCCACAGCTTCTTACAAATACTGCGTACTTTTCTCTAAAAAATCCTCAGAGACAGAGATTGTCCAGCCCTTCAGTTTTCGGCAATTCTTAAAAATGAACGTTTTCTCAAAAAAATGGAAACGTTTCACTATAAGAGGCCTTGGTCTATCAGCCGTTCGTTTACCAATATAGTGCAATCTTTCCGTACTTGTAATAGACACCCCGAGCTTTTCACCAAAAATGCCACTCACGATTTGAGTCTGAAGGGATTCTGCCGTCTCGTCGGCTGCATCGGCAACGCCGTAAACGATAATGTTGTTGCGTCGACTCCTGTTTTCAAGATCATCAATTCTGTCATCCATTTTTTCGACTAGGTTTTTAAGTAAGGATATCTTGTGCTGATGGGTGGGAAACTGTTTTGCAGTCGTTTGCAAAACAGACATTTTCGCATCTTCGGCAGCCAACTTTTCGTTTAACTGCTGAACCTGATTCTCTGCATGTTTTTGGTTTTCTTTTATAGCTGATAGCTCCCTCGTCATCTGGGTCTTATTTTCAAGACCTTGCGCCAACATCTTTTGGACGGTCGGTCCGGGATTATGTTCCACGTCGCCACTTAATTGCAATAAAAGGCAAACCATGTGTAACATTTCAACAATGCACTCAAGAAAAGTTTTGGGGCATGCAGTCTGCATGCAGTCTGTGTGCAGGTGTTGCAATTTCTTTTTTGGGTATTCCCACGGGTGTATGGGAACTTTGGGTGCCTCTTTGCTCACTTCCTGGCACGGTCGACAACTTCCGACCATCGTTTCGATTTCATAGTCCAAAAGCGGCCACTACATGTAGGTTCGTGCCAGTCCCTTCATCTTTGTCATTCCCGCATAACCTTGATGCAAATCGTTCAAGACTTGTTTTCGGTACCTCGAAGGTACGACGACGCGTGCTCCCCACATTAAGCCGTCAAGCTCCACGGTTAGTTCCTTTCTGCGACGGAAGTAAGGCTTGAGGTCATCGGAATTCACTTGTTCCGGCCATCCATCAACGGTGAATCTTAAAACGGTAGACAACATGCGCCCTTTCGTGTATCTGCTGATATGCTTATGTGTCAGTGGGAGTGTTTGGAAATTTTCTAGATGGAGACATTTGATTTTGTCCAGTTTTGTAGTTTCTGATTTTGTAGCGAACTTGTCAGTCATTGGGAGTCTCGACAGCGTGTCTGCGACTACGTTCTTATCGCTTGAAACGCACTTTGTGTCGATGTCATACCCTGACAAGATGATTGCCCATCGCTGCATTCTTGCTGCAACCATGCCTGGGATTCCCTTACCGGGATTGGAAATCGATACCAGGGGTTTGTGGTCCGTCCACAGCCTGAAGTGGCCTCCAAACAAATACTGGTGAAATTTCTTTACGCCTCCTTTGTCAATCGGAGAGTAGTTTTGCTCACTTTTGGAGCGCGTTCTTGACATGAAGACGATCGGCCTTCGTTGCTTGTTGGGTACTACGTGTTGAAGTACTGCACCCATGCTATGAGTCAATACGTCACAGTGCAGTTTCAGAGGAAGTGCAGCGTCATAGTGCACTAGCAGACTCTTGGTGAGTTGCTTCTTTGCTTCATTGAAGGCTTTTTGGCATGATCTCGACCATTTCCTCCTTTTATCTTTTCGCAACAGTTCATATAGCCGATGTAGGATGTCGGCGGTGTTGGTGAAGAACTTTACGTAGTAGTTCAGCAGTCCCAGAAATACTCTGAGTTATTTTTTATCTTTTGGCGTCTTCGCTTGTAGGATCGCTTCCACCTTCTTAAAATTTGGGTGGATCCCTTGTTTGTCTACGACATGTCCTAGGTACTCGATGGAGTCCTGCATGAAGCAGCAGTTTTTCTTTCCGAAGCGAACACCACTTTCTTTGAGTTTTTGCGGTACGATGTCCAGGTTCCGCAGGTGATGTTGATCGTTTTTGCCAGTTACCACAATGTCATCCTGAAATGCACCTGTGCACTGCAAGTTCCCAACGAGTTCTTCGATGACGCGTTGGAAGATAGCTGATGCTGGGGTTATTCCAAATGGCACTCTGATCACCTGATAGAGCCCTTTGTGTGTATTGATCACAGTGCGATCCCTTGATTATTCCGCTAAGGGGATCTGGAAGTAAGCTTGTTTGCAATTCAGCTTGGTGAACTTCTCCCCCCATTGGAAATCTTCAGAAAGATATCTTCAGTCTTTGGTAGTGGGTACCTATCTCGCTTGAAGGCTGGGTTGAGTGCGACCTTGCAATCCCGGCATATGCGCATTTGTCCCTTTGCCTTCGTCACTGGAACGATTGGAGTTTCCAGCTCACTCTTCATCCCAGGAGTGATTATGGGCTCTTTCTCAAGACGATCCAACTCCTCCTCGATCTTATGTCGGAGAGCGCATGAAACTGACCTTGGTCTGAGAAACTTTGGTTGAACATCATCATTCACGCAGAGTTTCACGGCGTAGTCCTTCAGTTCTCCCTGACCTTCAAAGATGGAACTCTGTTTCTGTCTCACACTTGCGAGAGTTAAGGTTTCTGCACGCATGTTGTGCACTTCCTTTGAGTTCACTTCAAAATCCTGAAGCTATGCCCGTCCCAGTATCGGAGGTTCCCCATTCTTCACCACTTAGATTTCATGACGCTTGACTAGCCCGTTGTACCGTAACTCGATTTGAACCATTGCCTCTGGAACGATGGGCTTGCCAGTGTACGGCTTCAGCGTTATTCCCGAAGGTTTCAACTGGAGGTCTTGAAGAATTTCTTGAAACGTCCCCAGATTGATCCCAACCACGAGTGAGCCTGTGTCAATCTCTGTCTGAAGAGATTTGTTGCAAATGTCCACAGTTACTCTGATGGGTTTTGGATAGCTTGAGCCGATGAAATGAAAGAGAGTTTCGTCTCCCGAGTTCTGTGTAGTGACATGGTTGGTGGAGCTTGGCTTGTCCTTTCTTCTTTTGTCTTGTAGACTTCGTTTTTTGTCACGGCAGACCATTTAGACCTATCCTGTTCTTTCGCATATTTTACAAGTCGTGTTCCTTGCAAAGCAGTTTTCAGGGTCGTGATCGGCTTTGCCGCAACTGTGACATGGGAAATCTCGCTTGTGGGAAATCTCGCTTGTGCGAGATTTCCCTCTTCTCTCGTTTCCCTTTTTCGAAAGCGACGTCTTGTATTTCCGCCCCTGCGCCAAACGATTGCTATCGTGTTGGGTCTCGGTCTCGCTCCTTATTTCCTTCGCATCATTCATGGCTACCTCCATCGAAGTAGCAAGATCCACCGGTGCCTCGAATGTCAGCGTCTGTTGAGCCAGCAGCTTTTCGAGAAAGTTTCCGCCCTTAATGCCGTTAATGAGCTTGTGTCGAAGTCGGTCGTTAAGGGAAACATCAAAGTTGCATTGCAGTGAAAGCTGTTTGAGCGCAGCTACGTATTCTGCAATAGTTTCGGATTCCAGCTGCTTCCGGTGATGGAATTTGTAGCGTTCAACCGTTTTATTTGGCGTCGGGTCGATGTGGCTCTGCACTAGTTGAACGATCTGTACGTACGTCTTGGTGCTTGGTATAGCAGGTGCCACCAAGTTCCGTATTAGTCCGTACATTTCTCGTCCGACGACAGAGAGAAGAACATCGGCTCACTATGATTCCGGAATGTCGATTGCAGAGAAGAGCACTTAGATCCTTTTGACGTACGAAGACTATGATTCCGATTTCTGACCGAACTCTTCAATTTTCCCGATGCGAGGCATTCTCCAGGTTTAAGAATGGGCGTCACTCACGTAACCGCTGTCTCCTTTGTTTCGATGCCGCTCATTTGTTTATATCCGTCTTTATTGCATGGATCCCATCCTCGCCGCTATTGTGATGTACCGCTCTCCCCCTCCGGCGTCTCCGGTTATCATCAGCCCACCGTTGCCTGAGCCAAAGGTTGTGTTCGCTATCCGTGGCGAACACGCACACAATACACGGCAGTATGTACATTTCATCACGAAAATACTGCAATACTTTGGCTCTAGTAAAATGCAGCTCCAGAGTCACGCAGTAGATGCTGCCAGAGTGCCAGCGTGTTCTCTTGTCGCAAGAGGTCTCCATGCACTCGGTCGCAACCAGTCGAAGGTGAGTGAGCTAGCCTTAAATGTTATTTCTTTTCTGTGTGCTCCTGTGCAAAAACGTTTCTATCATTGTGAATTCACAGATTCACATCTCTATCTATGTTAATGTATTAATGTTTCTATTGATAGGAATACATTTATAGAAATAACAAAGAATGTGCAGGTGAACCGGTGAACTTTCGACATCTCAAGCAACCGAGACATCTTAGGGAATGAAAGTGGACACCACACACACAGGTTTGTTGTTAAATATTCTCTTTCAATGTTTCGGGTGTTCAATACCTAGCGAACACAATACTTGGGTACAAAGAAAGTCAGGCAGACGTCTAGCAGATTAAAAAAAGAAACCCACCTCCGGTCCCAGGGCCCGTCGCAGGATGGCCTGGAGCAGGCAGTGTGGCGCAATCTCGACCATGATGGCATTTTTCGGCACGTGCTCCAGGGCCTCCCGAAAGAGGACGGGCGAGATCAGGTTGTTCACGTGGTAGGCCGCCGAGCACTTCCGGGCCAGCGGCTCCCCCCAGCGGCTCTGTGGCATTGACGAACTGATCCAGCGTTCCGTACGAGGGCGGGCCTCGGGGACCACCTAAGAGGGGGCGGACACCGTCAACTTCGAGGCGACGACCGCCCGCTTGCGGCGGTTCAAGCGGGCGCTCCGGGGGGCGGAACGTCGCAGGGTCGAAAAGCGGGCAAGTCAATTCGCTCCTTTTTTGTGGCAACAAACTCGGTGGCACCGTCTATTCGATAGCCCCGGCACACCGCCGATTCGGGCATATTTCCTTAGTCTTAAGCGAAATTCTTTCGCCGTCAGGGTGAATTCCATCTGCAAGTGCTCTAAGTGACCAGTTTGTCGAGACAAGGCATAAATTTCTTTCGTAAACACTGCAAATTGTTAATTTAGTTGAATACTGCGGAAGTGTTAGAGGGTCATTTGCACACCGGTGCCACCACGTTTCAACTCACGTGAGAAATAATGAATAGCCTGTTGCAGGTTAACCCCTTGACAGCCGAACTTTTTCACCGGTGCGCATCTTATGCCAGGGTTCTTTCTGCACGCTGGATGCAAATTTCAGTGCAAGTAACGTGGTAGAACGAAAATATATATGTAGAAAATGTGGACACGATCATCCTGTTTTTTTTTTCTGTTCCCTCTAGGTTTTGATGTTTCTCTTCTACCCCACTCTCAGGTTAATTCAGCGCAGCGTTTCATAAAATATACTCGCTTGTCAATTACACACTTATTTAGTGGAACGGCGTTAATTGATGACCTTGCGTCTCTAACCGAGGAATATTTTCTGGCGCTGTTTGTTTCGAGACACTTTATGATGCAAAATGTTACCTCGACCTCGCAACTTGAGGGCACACTTTTAATCGGCCACTCGGCGTTAAAGGGTAACTGCAAAAAAAAAAAGGTTTTTTAAACAACCCAATTGGGACAAGCATGTCACAAAATGTTTCCGTGAAAAAGAAATGGGCAACATTTACGCCACAGGATTAATTTAGGAGGAGTCACAACCTTTTCCTATTTGAAACTCCCGCACTTTCACCCCGCGCGGAGGAGAAATACGCCCCGCCCCTCACTCTTGGATTTGCTCTTGGATTGACTTGGCTGAGGTGTTGAACGACGTACGCAGCGTCTCTACTTTTGGTGAGTCTTGTGTACTATCACAGCCACCACAGCCTTTTGCAGCTTCTGTGTTCTGTGGGAACTACGCGCAAAATGAACCCTGAATTGAAGCGTCAGCTTCTTGGCCACTGCGACGAACTGGGTCTTCGGCCATACGAAGATACGCCGCGGAGGACGACTGCCAGCAACGAAGACGGCGCACCGCCTGAGCCTCCCGAGCCTTCGGCGCGCTCGATAGGAAAAGCGACAGGACCGCCCCTGTCTCAGTCGTGGACGTTCGGTGCACCCGGTGCGAATCTCGAAGACCTCCGGAACGAAATGGTGAGAACATGCCTGGACACATTTGTCACTACGCGAACGCCCAATCGCCTCAAAGCAAATAGCATTCAGCTCGTCATCTTTTGGGGCGGCATGGCTACCGGAAGACTCGCTCTCACGATCACTAATCTACCAGCACTTTACAGAGCAACGGCGCCACTTTACAGAAGCTAACATCTCCAAAAAGTAAGCATTTGTATTCGCAAGTAAAAAGAAAGCACGCTCACAAAGCAAAGAGAACTCGCAACGAAAGCAGAGGGAACACCTGAAGAAAACTAAAGTAACTAATCGCGCTATGAAAGCCAAAACCCCGCGTCGCTTCCTATCACTAACATCTGCGGCAGCTGCTAAACACACACTACTTCACTTCAGGAAATCTCACTCAAGCTCCTGGGTCAACAGGAAACACTGATCTCTTCGGCGAAACGACTAGTCGAGGTAGGAGAGACAGGCGGAAGCACAGATAGCAGCGGCCATTGAAAGAATGGCGAAATTTTTGTTTGTTCTGGTATGAATCCAAACAAAAGTGACCGTCTTGTAAACCCTTTGTAAACGATAATAATAACTCATTACATGAGTTACTCTTTAAACGTAAAAATATGCTACTCAAAAGGAAATTACAACATATCACAAAGGTTTAACAACCAAGATCTAAGCTGTAAAACAATCTCTTAGCCAATGAGAAGAGTTGCTATCGCACGTCACTCCATGACGTATAATACCAACTTTGTGGCACGCGATGTAAAACGGACGAAATTGCCGCAAACTAAAATCAATCTCGCGCAATAAATATTGCTGTAAAATATTTTTTTTTCGCGGAAACCTTTTTTTGTGACATGCTTGTCCCACTTAAACTGTTTAAAAAATCTTTTTTTCTGATTTGCAGTTACCTTTTAAGGAGGAAGTTTTAGATCATTCAGAACCGCGAACCACAACTTCCTCATTTTCCCAATCTTCGGATTCAGAATTGATTCCTAATTTATAGATCTCTGTGTGTTTCTATGGAGCGCGGAGTCGAACGGAAGAGATTCGCCGTTCTGGGATAGCGAAGGAAAAAACTGAAACGGAAGTTGCCTAGATTTCCACTTTCCAAAAAGTGGGGATACCGCGAGACAAACGAATGAAACCAGGCAACCGGATGACACGGGTACGGCGGTGGGTGTGCGTTGGAGTGAGCACAGGAGAGCGGGCCCCACCTTCTCGAGGACCTCCTGCAGGGCCGGCCCAATGGGCAGCATGCAGCGGCTGTGGAAGGCCATGTTCAGGCTGTTCACCTCTCGGGCAAACACATTCTCCGCCTTGAGCTGTGCCACCAGCTCCGCCACCGCCTCGGCTGGGCCTGACACCGTCACGGAGTCCTCCGCGTTGTGGCAGGCCGGGATCACTCCGTTAGGGCAACGTTGCTTCGCCTGGTCCCAGGTCAGGCCTAGGGGATGCCGGATAAAGGTCCCTCCGGTTAGGGCAAGAGATCGCTGGCCATGCCCAGTACGGCTTCGCAGAGATTACGATCATTGGTTGGTTGAGGATACACAATGTTTATTGACAACGTTGCCTGAACATCACAACTTCCGTTTGCAAGGCACAACAACGTCAGCGCGGCATTCGGTAGTCGGGGGTAGCCCGCAATAGCCTACCGCCTATGGACCACGAAGTCAATACTAGTGTTAGGGCAGCTCACTTCTAGCGGCTACTACCGTTTGAATTTCTTCCAATTGCCAAAATGCGTCTTTTTCAGAGACGTTGCATTGCAATAGAGCAGTACCATCTTTTAGTCATTTTTGTGCAATCCATTTTACTGCAAGCCCGTTTTCACTGACATGGCGGTGCTCTCGGTTAACATTGACAAAACAGCTCCCGAGTACTTTCCTATCGCCTTCACCGAACATCGCCGCCAGTCTGCTGTAGCTCAACGTTAAGGAATTGATGGCATCAGAAGGGCTCCGCTTTCGTGTGATTTCTTGGGTTCTTAAACGTGGCTCGAGTGAATCTCTCACTGGAATTGCCTTGACATAATAACTTTTTTTTTTTAAATATAACTTGAAGCTTCTGTTTTGCTGCTGTCGTGCACGTTTCCAGCAAGTTCAGTTAATGACTTGATTAAACTATTTTGCGAAGGATTAGAATTAAATGAACCGACACGAGAAAGATGACGCGAAATACAAAAATAAATGCGATCAACTAGCCACGCTTAAGCACTGTTCAATTTGGAGCTTCACAATCCTAGGTCAACAAATGTAAAAATATTAAAATTCATTTTTCGAATTCGGAAAAACAAATTAGATGCAACGTGCTTTTTATGCAGCGTGTTTGGGGTGCAAGTATTGGGAATTATTGGGTTTTATCTGAAAACTAAGGTTCCTAAACATAGACAACATTCTCGGGGAAGAACTGGATAAATATATGCATTTTTGTCTCGTTATTATGAACCACTCAGATTATGAACGCTTTTTGAGGGAACGGAGGCGTCCATAGTAACTACTAACGAGCAGTGCTGCGCAAATATTTGAAATTTCTAATAGTAGTTTCAAATAATACACTATTCGACATTCGATTCGATATGAGCTGTGATATTAATATTTTTCGAAGTGTTGATCGCGGCGACTTAACCTCCGTTGAGTGCGCTTCACACCGAGCAAGAGTGCACTGCAGGGAAGCAATACCCATTGCATCTCCGCAGTGCACAGGTGCTCGGTGATAAGCGCACTCCACGGGGCTATTTCGCCACGATTATGAGAGAGAAAAATATAGGCAGCTATGTCTTGATAACCGAAGCTCCTCATTCGTGCTTGTTACAGCCAAGCTTATATTACTCACACGTCGCATTTATGGTATGTTATCGTTTCACCGTCCTAACGAGAACAAAAAAATTTCAGTGATTGAAGCGAAAAGTGCAGATCACGCATACAACATAGACCACATCATTCGTTTCAATAGAGCAGAAGCACGAAACAAGCATCAGAACCAGATAATTGATGATAAGGCGCCCCTGACAACAGTGCGAAACACGTAGCGCTCACCGCATACGTTTCGCGGTAAACATTGATGTTGCTTAAGCTGCCGTGGCAACGGCAGCTTGCGAGTGGGGAGTGACGTCACTAGCCGTTCACATATAAAAAGTTTTGGTGAGTGCATTTACTTTTATTGCGAAAGGATTATATGCACCAATACGCGAAAACCCGGCATCGTTGGCGGCGTGACCCAGCGATTGTTTCCGAAAATGGCCCCCGCCGAAAAGAGTGAAAACAGGTAAATAAATGCTCAGATTAACGTCGAATTTCTCATGCAGGTTCGCGTAAACAAAGTAAATTAAAAGGTTTGAAAAGAAAATTATTTACATTTTGGTCTGGCTGGGAATCGAACCCGGGCCTCCGGGGTGCGAGGCCAGCTCGCTTCCCCAACGCCATGACGGCTCCAGGATTTTGGATGATTAAAGGTGTGCCTCGTCTGTGTGTCATCGGGCACGTGACGGCGCAGACAATGGGGAGGGGGTGGCGCCTCTTTATTAGTGTATACAATGAGCGCGCTGCCTCCCGCGCGACACACACCGAATCAGCACAAAAACCTTTAATGCATGTCGAAAACATTAATCAAAAACATTTCACCAAAGCGACTGTAATGCTTTCGAATTTCCGCACGTAAGTAGTGTTAAGTGTCGTTGCCGAAATTTTTTTTTCTTTCGTGAATCATTTAGTATAGCCCTTTTGCTGTTTACGAACGTGAACTGCCGCTTGCGTCGCAAGCGACGTCCGATCGAACCGCCTTTGCAAGCCTGTCGAGCTTGCGCATGTCACCAGTGCTAGAAAGCATAAATGCTATACGGAAAACAAAGTTAGAGATTTAAAGAGTGCCTTCGGCTGTATAATATTACATGTTGAAGGAGGCAAGTTGGTTTACAAGTACTATACTCGAAACAATTTAATAAATCTCGCACTCCGTCCTTCGTTTGGCGTTCACCTGGTGAATTGGTGGTTAGACGTTTCATCTACATTTCAAGCAGCAGTATTAAAGTGGGCTGTGTTTATTCTTTTTTATAAACGGAGAGTTTTCTGGGACATCAAAGACTGAAGCACCAGCTGGTGGCGTTTGCCATAAAAAGGGTCTATAGTGCAGTGGCCAATCGTTTAATATCATAGCCTCGCTGTTCAACCACCTTCAAAGCGTGGGTTTGAGCCCCAAACGTCTTTGATATTTTTTGTTAAATTTTTTATTGAAGAAACACTATTTGGCAAGTAGAAGGCAGACTTACAAACCTCCTCGATTAGGATAGCTGCAACAATTGTGTTTTTTTTTACATATGTCACTATACATAAATATAGCTATACTAATATTAACTAAGCTTAGTAGTGGACAAGTGGAAGGATGAAAACAACCCTCAAGGGTTCCCCTGATTTTTCGTTTAGGCATGGTGCACGGTAGTGAAAGGCTCGGAGAAACTATTCGACATTCTACTAGAAAATAATCGGCCAAAACCACTTTTTGCTTCAAATTGGCTTCGAACTCAAAATCCACTATTTGCACATTACTAACGAGATATCAGTGTAATTAGACTTAAGGGAGTTTCCAGCAGCCTCGACGACACATAGAGAGCCCATGTCCAGACTGGACAACCTGGAGACAACGACCCGCGCAGAGAAGACTGACCGACGGCAGCCATGGCCCCCTTGGGCATGTTGCCCAGCTCGATGCAGCGCCCGCTCCAGTAGGCGCACAGCACCGTCTGCTCGGCCGTGAAGCCCCCGTCGGCAAAGCCGCAGCCGATCTCGCCCAACGAGTGACCCACCATGCCGTCCGGTTTCACCCCCACCATCTTCAGCATGGACACCAGCGCCACCTGCGGGGAAGCGCAACGTCACTCGTCCTGCCAACCACGCCCGAGAAGATGGAAAACAGACGTGTGCAGCTCAAAGAGGTAATCTATAATTATCGAGAGGGAAAGGTCCCACGTATTTCGGTCGCTTCGGAACTGAGGGACACATGTACCAGACTTGGACGTAGTTCAACTACTCTACTCAAACTACTGTAGTTTAACTACTTTTTCGAGTATTTTGGTAACTTTCAATTACAACTTTATTTGGGTAATTAGTAGTTTAATTTAACTACTTTTTTCAGGTAACTTCTACTCAAATTACTAACTGCTTTCCAAATTATATAGTGCTCATTTTGCCCATCACGAAAGTTTGAGCGCAGAAATGAATAAGACGCCGGCAGATAAAGTGGCATTCCCGAACAAGGGGCCCCCTTGTTCGGGAAGGCGTCCTTGGGCCAAGGTGGCGACGAGCAGCCAAAACATAACACCGGCACGCACGAACGCAGGAAGAGATGCTTAACAAGCCTTGGTCGGGTATTGACCTAATCCTGTTGGCAGGTGCCGCGTTTCCAGCTGCAACCGTGAAAGACGGGGACACTCCGAGAGTTGTTGTTGTTTTCGTGTTGTCTGTCCTTAGTGAGTACTGACTCAAGCGGTAGGTTCCTTGGGAGGCGCCACTGGAATGACCTCGCAGCTGGGCGCCTGTTCCCATGGTCGCCTTGTCGTCAGCGCATACGCCTTTGCAAAGCCGGACTCCCCCGCGCACAAACCCTGGCACGGATAATCCGCTCATGGGAGCACTTTCCCGCTTCCAGCTGCAACTGTATACGAGCGCCAATGCTTGTTCACGTAATCCTTCGCGTCCTTCCGACCGTCCATGCCTGGGAGACCTCCTCTTTGTTAAAAACTATTTACTTGTCAGGCGTGTCAGGCGCGTCAGAATGTTGTAGTCGCCGGCGAGGATTGGCAGTTACCCTTGGGAGATATTTTTGTTGGACCCGGCGTCAGCGGCGAAGTATACTTCGGTTCATCTTCTGTTAAACAAAAACAATTTTTTTTTTTTTCAGGAGCGTAGCACTAGCACTATAACGGGACGCGCAGTCGTCCGGATGATCCCATCGTCGTGGCGCGAGACTTGAACCCTTGACGGTCTGGTGCACTCGCTCAGCGTACTCTCAGAACGACGTCGGAATATAGATGAGCCTGTCATAACAATCTCAACCTGATGAAGAAAAAAGAAAAAAGGAGGAAAGTTTGTTATAAAAGACCCTCTACCCGAGGCAAACCTTACATGTTTCGTCATGGATACCTAAGATGCCGACACTCGCTTACCCGACCCTGCACAGCCTGTTTCTCAACTTCAATGCTGCCGTTCCATCCAGCACGTCGGTGGAACATTTTTTTAGCTTGGCTGGGGACGTCTTTAGAAGGAAAAAGGGAAAACTCTCCTATCAAGAACTTTGAAAGTCAATTGCTTCTGCGAGCGAATAAACTATTTTGGCGCAAACGCAAGCCATAAATAGACTGCATTAATTTTAGGCTCGCAGGGTTTTTCATTGATTAAAACTGTTCTTCATTTCGCTACCACAAAAATATAAAAAAGTAACTTCGAAAGTAACTTCAAAGTAACTCGCTACTTTTTACAGTAGTTAGTAGTTTACTCAATTACTATAACAAATGTGTAATTTCTACTCTACTCTAATTACTTTTGGCGTCAATACTCAGTAACTTAACTACCTTTTTTGAGTAATTTGTACATGTCTGACATGTACCGACATCGGTGGTTGCTGAGGGCCCATATTGGTGGCGATGCTTTAGTGTACACAAAGTGGCTACAAAACGTAACTTGCAAGCTCTGTACTTAGCGTTCTAGCTTTATTTTGCACGAAAACACTGGCATCGGGTATTGTGTAAGAATAAATAGATATGACAGGCACTCTAACAAGTCGTCGGGGTGAAGCGACCACACTTAACCTACCGTCTCCTTCCTGTCTTCACATTTCCGTCACTCTCTTTCTATTTCTTTCGGGGCCACAGATGTCGGCGCTTAGTCATGTTCTGCTCCCGTCTTTGCCCCCCTGGTGATGCTGCACTCCGGCCAGGGGTGAATTTATGGGTCGGGCTCGGGGGGCATTTTGACGTCGCAGACGGATGTGACGTTACGGGCAAGGCGTTTCCCATGTCTATCTGGTTCACCTCGAATTCGCCATTTTAAGAAAAAGAAAACACCTCTTCCCTAGAAAGTTGGAGTGTTTGTTTTTCAATAAAAAAAAAAAAAGTTGCCCTGGAGACACTTTTGTGTGCGTTTTTTTTCGTAGATGTTGAAGTTTCAAATTAAATCCGGAAGCATGACAAAAACTTATGTTAGATGTTGTAAAACGGGACAATATGAGTGCTGTAGAGCTGTTCTTCGTAACATGTTACAAGACGTTTGGTGATGTGAAACGAGTGCTGCTTATCAGCTCATGCCAGCAAGACAAAAAAGCATGCGTAAAACACTGGAACATGTGATGGGCTCCTTCAATTCACCTGCACCAGCCTGCGCCGGTCCAGGAAATTGTAAATTGAAAATCAAACGAAACCGACGTCGCCCTACTGGAGAGTGGGGCAAATTGTGAATTATAAATTTAACATCACCTTTCTTTCCCATTTTCTCAATAGCCATTCCGAATTTAGAGGTATCCCTACCGAGAAATCCGGTATAACTCTTCGCTATCCGGATTATGGAACCGGAAATCTATCTGGATTCTATCTGGATTCTATCTGGAATTTAGGTTTTCAGAAATTTTTCCTTTCTTCTCAATCTGGATTTCGGGTTTCCAGTAACAAATTTCCGGTTCCATATTCCGGATAGGGAAAGTTATACCGGATTTTTCGATAGGGATTAAATAGCACACCAGAAAGAGTACAACCTGGGCTATCCGAAAATGTGTTTTATTTTTGTCGCTATAAAAAACCCGCCCGAGCTCCCTTTCTAAACTTAGGCTCTCAACGTGACTCACCTGCACGGCGGCAATGGAGACAAAGGGCGACACTGTCGTCTGGTTGTTGGCATCGTCCCTGGTGATCAGGTCTACGAGGTCAATGCCAAAGGGTGCTAGGAGCTCGTGGGAGCGCCGGATGGAGTCGGCAAACACGTCGAACTGCATCATCTGGCGGGCCATGCCATTCCACTGGCAGCCGATCCCCGTAAAGACAAACCACAGGGGCCGCTTCTCAGACGGGGCGCGCTGTAGCGTGGGAGAAAGGAGCAAAGGTCAGGACGCACACGTAACTCGGGTGCGGTAGTGGACAGAAAATAAATGGCAAACGACAACACAAAGTGTGCTACATGCGATTGGCAGCGGTAGCTGCCGCGTTGAGGAAAAGCACGTTGAAGAAGATTGGCTTTCAGCCAGTGCGCTGTACCATATGGTTGCCATAGGTTCTTTGCTTTCAGTGGAAGTGATGTAGGAGACGTGTGTGAGGAGATGTATACTTTAATGGAAAGATTGTGCGAGATGTCGCATCTGTTGGAAGAAACGAAAACGTGCTTTTTCGGGGGCTGAAACGCTCTATAAGAACGGCGGCTCGCATGACTGCACATACGGTGGAAGAAGCGGCAGTATGCATGCAAACTATACCCTAGAGCCGCGGAGAGACGCGAGAACAGAACCTGGGCGGCGGCAGTGGGGACGCGAGGGAGCGTGTCCGGACAGAGCGACCTGGTGGGCATTTCGCTACATTAGCTGCCGGAGGGGTGGGGGAGGAAGAGAGGGCGCTGCGGGAGGGTATCTGGATGTAGCAGAACGATGGGGAGGTGAACAGCTCTCTTCCCATGATCGCGTGAATTTTCCGAAACAGCGGAGGCCTACCGGAGGGAAAGAAGGTGGGAGGGTGCAAGGAGGCTAGAGAGAGCATTGCCTTTTGTGAGGAACGATGAGGAGAGGGAGAGCAGTGCCTCTGCTATAGAGTGGGCTTTTGCGTTCATATATGAGCACGTTTTGCCAGGAAGGAGCACTAACAGCTACCACTGTAAAATAAAAGCCTCTGACGAGGCTCTTGCAGATGCGTTTCAAATGCCCCGTGGCATTCCGGCCACATGCCTAGTACATGCCACGCACATGCCCTTGCACAAGTCTTATACAGATCTTTCACGTCGCTTGCACATGCTCCGCAGAACACGCCTTGTGCACAGGCCTTCTGCAGAGGTTTCATGCGTGCCTCTATTTTTACAAAGACGCCACGTACGACGACCCAATTCCAAGGAAAAATAATTGCAGCTCGAGATTGGGCTCTATTCGCAGACACTCGACTGGTACTGGAACACACATTCGGTGCTAGCCCCAATCTCGAGGAAAATGTAATATAAACGTACGTTGAAGAACGCCGCCCTCGATGCAATAGCACTGGGGCTGTGGCGCCTGGGCCACCGAGACTGGAGGAAGGCTGGTACCCACCTCGACCGCCTTGATGGGCTCGCGAGAGCCGTTCACGGCCACCACCGTGTAGCCGCGGAACGGGAACTGGTTGACGCTGGGCTGCCCCACCCGGTTGAGCAAAGCGTAGGCTGGGTCTGGCAGGGGTCCGTCCCCCTCCAGCCGGTCCAGGGTGGCCTGCGAGATCACAGGGGTCTGCCGTGAGCATTCTCATCCATTCAAGATTCCCAGGCACCATAGTTCACAAAAATATGAAAGGTTTCGGACATTACGGCCATCGGAATGACAGACGTGGACTTCCGCGGTCTCTATCGGGCCATATCACTGGCAACACCTTTATATACACAAGGAAGCAGCACAACGATGCTCCCAAGGTCTGCTCCTAGCTCTTTCCTAGATTTATTTTACGTAAAAACATTCTGCGATTTATAAAAATAAATGAAGCTGACGAGCGCTCGAATAACTTCAATCCATCGTGGCAAAACGAATAAACCAACCTATAGTACGCTTTCTTCGGAAGGAGGGAAAATACGCAGGCGAGCGGTTAGGAAACATCATTAAAAAAAACGTGAGACTGAGACAAATAAAAAAACACTGACAGCACGACACAAAATCTGAAACGCAGCTCCGTTTATTCATATAAGGACGTCAATAAATAGCCGTTCACTCGAAAACAGAAAGAAAGGAAGAAGAAACAAACATTTCCCACGTAATGAGAAAGGTTCCCTTCCCTCTCTGGATGTACTGGTAACCAGAAGTGGCAGTCATCTAAGCCTCTCTGTTTGCATGAAGCCAACCCACACTGGCAGATACTTGGGTTTTGATTCCCGCCATGCCCTGTGTCATAAAGCGTCGGTGGCTTCTGCGCTTTTCAGGCGCGCCTTCGCCACCAGTTTCGCAAAGAAGAGCCTCCAGGAGAAAATCAAGGTCGAAACATCGAATTTACGCAAGAATGGCTACCCTCGACGGCTTATTCTTCGAATACTCGAGTACTCAAAGCATCCCAACGTAGGGCGCAGCATTCCCCACTCCGATCGTATCTGTGTTCCCTACATTAGCCGCACCAGCGAGGCCCTTTCCCGCTTCCTCGGTCGCTACAGGATGGCGGTGCCTCAAACGCCCGTGTCAACACTCGGTCATTGTCACCAGAGTGTCGAACCGAAATTTTTATTGGTTCGGTTCCGGTTTGGGTTCACGGCTTTCGGTTCGGTTCCGGTTCAGTTCCGGGGAGCAAAAAATAACGGTTCGAACCGGTTTGAACCAGTTCGAACCGGTTTGAACCGCAAAATTGGGAATATATTTTTCGCGTTGTACTGGCAATATACATTATTTACGCCGTGAAACGATTAACTATATAGTTTCTTCGATCGTCCGTGCAATTTACTTTTGTTTCTAGGTACCAAAATATTAACATTATTTAATTTCGACGCAAGAGTAGAAAAAAATCTGCATTAACATACACAACGTGTTCATACGACTCCACATCCCTTTGTTTACCAGTAACATATATTTTACCTGAATCAAAATGTTTAAGTACAAGAGCAAAGAGTTGAGCTGGTGTAAATAGATCAGCTACAATTTTAAAACCGTACTGTACTTTATTATTATTTTTTTGTGTTTAAGTAAACTTCTAAAGCTCAAGCTGATCTATTTACACGGTATAAAATGTTGTCGCAAAGTGTGGTAGGTCGCCTAGATACCCGTGATTGGTACAACTTTGTGTCGAACTTTGTGTCGCAGTGTTAAAAATGATATCGTGATTGTGTCCTTGAACTAAGGATTTGCATCACACAAAATTATGAAATAAGCACTTCGTGCTCATGCTAAATATGAAATAAGGTTCACGAAATACACTTCCCAATATATATGCATATGATGACGACACAACAGAGCTAAAAGCAATAAAATTTTCAGAATGTAACAATGCTTTCAGTCTATATTTTTATAGAAACACAGAGCGGCAATCCAAATGCCTGTTGTTCTAACCAAACATTGTTTACACTCAGCACCGCATGCATGCCACTAATCATGCAGCAAGAAGTAATCGCAATTGTTCACTCTAATCTATACGCACCTTAGCACTCAGATCGAATCTGGCCCAAAATAGCGCTTGCCCAAGTGAACATTTTCTTATGCAGAATAAGCTGGCATAGCCCGGTTGTTGAGGTTTGTTCTTGACAAGATGCCGGTCAATTTAATTTGCAAATGAGCATCACCTCTGCTAACTGATGATTTTAACTCGATAGCGTTAAGGAGCTCATGTCGCAGAAAAGCCGATGTCGGTGGCGTCACTGGAAAATCCTGATTGGTCGATAGGTTCATGACGTCAGAGCTACATACCCTCGCGCAAGAATTTCAAGCAACCCACAATGCTCACGCGAAACGTGACATCACGCGTGGAATGAGAGTGATTAAAACAGGACATGTAATGCGAATCAAAGGTCGCCGTATGTCTCGTACCCACGACCCTTTAGTTGCGAGTCAGACGCTTTTCACTAGGAACGGCGCGAGCGTCTGGCACGACGAAAACGTGCTTTTTGGTAAGAGCGTTTTTGCAAGCAAAGTAGTTTCCGGAGTCACGCTTTTTGGTCTGCACCAAAGATGTTGGGAAGAGGAACCTTTACAACACAGTATGTTTTTAAAACTCCCCCCTCCCCCCCCCCCCACACACACACGCGCACTTCTTTATACAGCGGAGCTGTTAAGGGTTAGTTTCACTAGTGTCGTGTCCGTCAGCAAACAAATGATGACACAAAACTCTGGACAGCTACCGCCATCTTCAAATGACGACGGCAACCAGAGAACCGGCTTGCCGGTTGTCTGGTTGCCGCTGTCGCGTATAGATGGCGGCAACCTCTCCAGCCTTTCCACTCTGGCTTGCCGACTTGCGGCCGGCCATTACTTCATTCCCACCATAGTACAGCATCGCTGGTCTTCCTTCTTCACCAGAGTGGAAAGGCTGAAAGCATTCCTGAGGAATTGCCTCCTTCTTTGGTGTGTGTTCATTCGACAATTTTATTTGACACTTGTTAACCGCAACCCTTCATTCCTTTTATTTTGCACCCCGTGAAGTTTAGATGGGTCATAAAACGACTTCGGGTTGGAATGTTCATGACTTTACCGAGGCGTACTGGTCCTCTGGCCCAAGTATACGTGCACAGGCCGCATCTAACTGAGAAGCTTTTTTGTCGCGGTGAAATTGCGAGGTTTAAATGAGACTATTTCTTTTAGTCTTGCCTTCCCAAAGATTGATGTCGCAATTGTAGGATCAAAACCACTCGCCTGACGACAGTCGAGCGCGGCTCATGGATTGGACAGGAGGACTGCGTGAGCACCGTACATCGGCTCGTAACAATCAATGTCTCGGCAGACACTTGGGTAGAGGCTCGTGTCCAACCACTGCGGTGATGAGAGTAACCGAACTCTAACAATTCCTGGAGCTGAGCACGCGTTTTCTTCCTTTAAAACTCCAGCTCGGGGGTATTATTAACGTTGACGGCATAAGATAGGCACCAGGCCAAGTGGCCGCTTCTGGCTCCGAGTTGAGGGGATGAACGATGCTCATATTTCTCGAATTTTTTGGCGACTGCCATTGCCTAGAAAAAATACCAAAGCCAAGTTCAAGCAGTTATTAACGTTAGGGAGTGATCCTGAGCAGTATTTAGTGATGTACAGAAATATTTTTAAAGCTCCTTTAAGCAAAGCACAAAGGGAGTCGAAACTTAAGCAATAACTTGAGAACGACGCTCGCGTGAGACTTACAGCGACTGCCAACGTTTGGCTGCCTCTCTGAGGTCACTAAAATATCCTTTTTTTGTATTCCTTCCGTACACACGTGTAGTTCTATGTAACGTCATATCAATAAGTCGCATTAGGTAATTTCAGTGCTCCTATTCTCAGGGACATCTTTCGGATGCAGTTCAGCAAAAAACAATAATAAAAAATGGGTCTTGCAACATTTTTTTTGTACTTTCAATAAATAGTGTTAAGAAATAACCCCTAACGTTGATAGCTTGCGGAAACAGCCATTAGTTTTCCCCTAATAGCAGATGTACCAAAAATAAAGGAAAGAGACAGCTGTCGATATCTCCTCAACTTGCAATTTAAACCAGCGGCCACGTGATCTGATACCGCCAGTGTTCATCACAGTCATGCTCTAGGCAGCTAGGGTTTGGAAAGCAAAAGCTTGGGCTGAGCTTCAGATATTTTTAGAGTAGGGCTATTATCATAATTATTTGACATGAGCCGTTACCCGAATGTTTGGCGGTGCTGATTGTCACGAACCCGAGCACTCGACGAGGGGTTATGAAAATCGCTTACGTCACGGTGTCATTTAACTCTCGGTGCGAAATCATGATGTTATGTCCCGTCATGCTGTCAACAATGTTAATACACCTAGTGACTTCCTCAAACGAAATCGAGTTGACGCAGTGAGTCTCGTGACGTCACGAGGTCACGTGACAACATGTATTGACACCATGACGTCACGTGACAACGTGACACATGGTTAATCATAGTGCCATGAAAACCCACAACTTACTATGCTTTTCAATTCTGTATATGACGTAGAAGGGCTAGTTGGTGATCCATGTTTGTGTGTTTTCACATACACATATATATGTGTGTTTTCTGAGAATAAACTTCAGTTGCAAGTAGCGCTCTGTGTGGTTTGTTTCTTTTACTCGTCCGTTGTTTTTAGCGCTTTTACCCTCACAAAACTGTATATGACGATTTGATCGATAGATAGAAATGCAGCCGCCAATTTTTTATTCCCATATGTTCATTTTGTGATACTAACAGAAAAGAAAAAAAATATTACCTTGAACCGTTTTGAACCGGTTACCGTTATATTTTTTTCGGTTCGGTTCCGGTTCAGTTCCAAGATGGCGGCAAAAATTTTGGTTCGGTTCAGTTCCGGTTCGGCTAAAAATAACGGTTCTGTTCCGGTTTTCGGTTCGGTTCGGTTCCGGTTCGACACCCTGATTGTCAGAGCCTCCCGAAGGATCGGCTCTTAAAAGAAAAGGCTATGGTTTGGTCTATCGTATCCCATGTAAAGATTGCCCGGCCTCATATACGTTGGCGAAAGTAAGAACTTCACAGAGAGGCTTACGCGAAACAATTACGTCTGGAAGAAGGATGTAGGGGCAAGCGTCCTAGCGCAACTCGCACAAGCAGCCGGTTGCACAGTTGACTTCGAGGGAAGCACCGTGCTGGCCTTGGAGAGAAATTAGCGAAAGCGACTCTTCGTTGAGTTTTGGCTTATCCAACGCACAAAAGCGAAAGAGAATCCTTCTTCGGGCTCCCTGCCCAGCAGCTAAGTGTCGGGACTGCGTGACGTCAGCAGAGCCTCATACATCCGTTTGTGCATTTAAGCCACGCGTGTTCTTTCCGCACTCACCCTTGAACACGGGACCGAACTGGTCTCGGAACATCGGGTGAATGTTTATTAAACTTTTGGTCACATATCCTATTTTTCGCTTACCGGAGCAAGACAGACAGACACGATCCCCACATAGACAGAATCGCCACCCAGAAACACTACCGGTTCCCAAAGACCTGGACGATAAGCTCCCTCGAGGCCGTGCGAGCCAGCCCACACATGAAATGAACCCTCCCCCCCCCCCCCCCCCCCATCATCCTTCCCTCGCTTGCCTCAAACTCCAAGGTACCGAAACAACAACAAAAACGAGGAAACAGAAAACAATCGAAGCTAGAAAAAGCCTCTGACGCGTTCCCCCAGCAACAAAGACGGTTGACTCACCCAATTACCGTGGTCGCCTGCACTCAAGGTTTCTTTTATAATCATTTTTATACGTGTCTCTTTTTTAAAACAAATTGAGGTCTCTTCCTACAAATGGGAACACAAACTACATCACCAATGTGTAAAGCCAGTTCAGAATTTGGGCACTTATTTCTCACATATTTCTCATGTTCAAGCAGGTGGTCGTTTATGCAGCGGCATGTCTGGCCCACATAGCATAAACAACAATCAAAACAAATCTTGTACACAGTCTTCTCTTCTTTTGAAAACCAATCGACGGATCTATATGTTTGTTTGCACGTTCCTGTTTCCTGTACTGGCTAAATGGTGTAAGTTCGCAAGGGCGAAAATCTGCCTTGAAAGCAACCCGTACCTCGAATCATTCCGCCAAAGCATTTACGTTTTTTGAGAACCCATAGAAATATGAAATTTTGGCTACTTGTTTCCCAGAACCAATGTCAGACCTGCTGGATGTGTCCCTTATTAGCCTGCGCAATACTGACCCGATGAAGTCATGAGCGCAGCCCGCTGCGGTCAACCTCTCCACTTCTAATAGGTAATGCACTAAAAGAGGCGTGCACTCATTGTGTTGGGATCGCACTTGGAAGACAGCTGGAGCGGTTGAGAGCAGAGGGCTATGGTCATGACAACATTGGGTCAGTTGTGCGCAGGCTGAGGGGGAAAATCTAACAGGTCTGACACTGGTTCTTGAGTTCAAAAGTTTTTTTTATAAAAACCAACATGGATTTCGACGAGGGTTGTCCACAGTAACGCAGTTGCTTGAAACGTTTCATGTTTTTTCGTGCTCGTCAAATGACAGAGGGCAAATCGACGCGACTTGTCTAGACTTACCAAAAGCATTCGATCGGGTATCTCATGAAGGACTTATAATAAAACTAACTAGTTACAGAGTTAATGAACATGTCACTCAGTGGATTAGCGCATATCTTAGAAATAGGATACAGTTTGTAGCTGATGGTGTTGCGCCAAGGGTCAGTTCTGGGACCAGTGTCATTTTTATGCTACGTCAACGATTTGGCGGAAACAGTAAGCTCCAATATTACACTTGGGTTATTCGCAGACGACTGCCTGCTCTACACTAAAGTTCGCATCCCTGTAGACCAAGAAAACTTAAACTTGTCGCTCGCCTCAGCAGATAATTTGTGTTAAAAATGGGGAATGAAACTGAACCCGGAAAAGACTGTATTTATCAGCATAACAAGCAAAAAAAAACATTCTTACTTACAATTATAAAATGGAGATGTGTCTTTAACAGTAGCTGATCATTTAAAGTACTTAGGGGTAACGATAGCCTCAGATTTAAGATGGAAACTGCACGTAGACAGTTTGTATCGTAAGGCTATTAAAAAGTTGTGGTTCTTGAAGCGCAATCTAAGGCATGCTCCGTTTAATGTAAAATTAGCCGCATACACAACCCTGGTACGACCAACTCTGGAATACGCCTGTGCTGTGTAGGATCCGTATAGGAACAACCAAATTGATAAGTTAGAAAAAATACAAAGATTGGCAGCCCGCTTTATCTGTTCGAGGTATGGTCGAACTGACTCGGTGACTTCAATGCTCAAAGAACTAAGCCTCCCTTTATTGTCAAGTCGCAGAGAAATTGCCAGACTTAAACTTCTTTTAAAGCTCTCTCGAGACGAGCTGAACATCGACACCTCCCGTTACTTGCTACCACGCTCGACTCGGCCATTGTGGGGTGTGCATTACAAGGTCTTTGAAATACAACGGGTAAACAATGACATTTTTAAGTATTCGTTTTTTGTTGGAACTGTTAAACAACGGAACGATCTACCAGAAGATACTGTAAATATAGAAACTATTGTTGATTTTGAGGAAACGCTGGAGAAGCGAAGCTGTTTGGTGCTCTGAGTGTGTCTTTTAGTTACATTTCAAACATTTTCAGAAAGCGTGTCAAAACTTGTGTGCTTGTATCCGCGTGGTTGTACTGTATACTTTCTTATACATTGTGAAATGTATTGGTATGTCATTTTCTTCCACTCCTGTAACCGCTCTGAAAAAAGGGTGAACAGTATTAATAAATAATAAAAAAAATAAAAAATAATTCCACGGGTTCTCGCCTAATTCAAATACTTTGGCGGGATGATTCGAGGTACGGGTTGTTTTCAAGGCAGATTTTCGGCCTGGAAAAATCACATTATTTAGCCAGGACAGGGAACAGGAGTGGGCAAAGAAGCATAGAGATCCGTCGATAGATTGTAGAAAGGAGGTTGTGTACAAAATTTCCTCGGATTGTGGTTTATGCTATGTGGGCCAGACATGCCTGCGTAAACGAGCGCCTGCTTGAGCATAAGAGAAATGTGAGAAATAAGTGTTCAAATTTAGAACTGGCTAAACACATTGGTGAATGTAGTTTGTGTTCCCACTTGAGAAAAGAGGCCTTAATTTTGTTCAAAGAAAGAGACACGTATAAAAGTTCAACCGTCTTTGGAGCTGGGGGAACGCGCCAGAGGCTTTCTCTTCCTTTGATTGTTTTGTCTTGCATTGTTGTTGTTGTTTTTTCAGTACCTTGGGGGTTTGCGGCAAGCGAGAGAGGTGTGGGTGGGTGTGTGTGTGTGGGGGGGGGGCGGGGGGGGGGGCTTATTTCATATGTTGGCTGGCTAGCGCGGCCTTGAGGAAACTTATCGCCCAGGCCCTTGGCAACCGGTGGTGTTTCCGGACGGCGGTGTGGTGATGGTGTCTGTCTGTCTTGCTCCGTGGGGAATGTTTCTTTCCTCCTTTCTTTCTTCGTGTTTTCGTCCGGGCAGATATTTATTGGCGATCTCCTGTGAATAATCTCAAATGCGTTTGAGAATGTGTCTTGACGTCCGTTTATATTTTCATGTGTCCCGGTCTCAGGTTTTCTTTCAATCTTATTTCTTAGTTTTTATTACACTCTCTTTCTTATTCTCTCTTGGGATTACCGATATCATCATTTATGTTTTGCCGTACTCTGTTTTCGTCTTTAGCCCCCCGGCCGAGGCGGCCCCGTCAAGCGGAACACTAGCTCTTTCGCCGAAAACACTTTCTGGCAACGCCACTGCTTTCAACTTTTCCAGATTTCCCAGGTCGGTAGACATTTTGCGTCGCAGCCCAAGACGCCCCGAAATCTCTCCCCCGAAAAGAGAACTCCGGCAAACCTCACCGTGAGCGACTCCTGGGTCCTGCCTGCGAGCAGCACCAGGCGGGGCAGCTGGGGCTTCTCCCGGGGGAGGGAGTCCACGTGGGGGCCCGGGTTGGCCTCCAGGATGGTGTGCACGTTGGCGCCTCCAAGGCCGACGGAGTTGACCCCGACCAGGCCCCCCGGGAAGGGCGTGTGGCGGTCCACCACCCGAATGCTGCCGTCGTTCAGCGACGGGATGCCCGGGTTTGGCTCGTTGAAGTGCAGGTTGCCCGGGATGATGCCGGTCTCCATGGAAAGGATCACCTTGGCCAACGAGCAGATGCCTGCGAGGGGATGTCAGGGTCACCATCATGGCACCTATAACCACCCGCTAATACGTAACACTAACTAGCAAGACTCTTATTTATACCCGTTTATAACTGATGGAAGCGATGTATGTTTTCCGTCTCTCCCTCGTGAAGAATACCGCCATGACCGTAAAGCTCTGCTCCTAGAAATCTCCGCCCTTGCTTTGAAGGGGACAGAAGTTAAACTGCTCGTTTAAGAAAAAACAAAGTAGAACGCAGTATTCGCCTCGATATCGAACTAAAGGTGGCGCTACTGCCGCGCTATCATCGTCAGCAATGTGTGGATAGGAAGATGGCTACCACATTGGCTATCTGCGGCCCCGACGGAGAACCTGCAGAATATCGCGTTTATTTCCTCGCACGGTATCATTGTGAAAGAAATTGTAACAAAAAAAGGTCCGTTACTGTTTAGTTCCCTAGTGCGATACCTAATGCACCGAGGTGGGTGTCAGTTCACCGATATCCAGCGGCCGGCGCGCTGGAGAAAGAGTGGCTTTCGAAGTTGAGATTACCGAAGGAGCCGTCAATTCACGCGATCCATGGTTTGCTCTAAACATTTCATTGCCGAAGACTTGAAACCAACGATGCATAACAACCGAGGAAAGTGGAAAAAGAAAACTGTTTTGCATAGGTGTCACGAGTGTCCCAAGGTAGAGTACGGGTAAAGTGTGCGTGTTGATCCTCGCTGCTGGGCAGTGTGATCGTCCTTACTGGGGGTTCTCCCGCTGCGGTGTTTTTGGAGAGGATGCGAATGCCACGAACATATTACTTCGTGAGAATCCGACTTTTGAAATGTTGTAGAGGTGTCACTCCTACGAGCCTATCTACACTATGATACGAGAAAAGAGACATCAGCTGCAGCGGAAGCGGTGTTGTGGGCATTACCGAAAAAAAGTAAAGTAACGAAATAAGCTACTTGTTACTTGCACATAAAAGTAACACGTTACCAACCTACGTTACCTCAAAAGAAAAGTAACGCGTTACCGTTACCGACAAAAAGTAACACACGTTAATTTCGCGTAACCTTTTTTTTTAATTATGAATTAACACGTGTTACTGTTTTGACTGGACAGCTACACATAAGCGCCCTATTTCAAGAAATATTATGTCCATGAAGAAACTCGACATGATAACTTTATCTTCTTTTTACGATTTCAGCTGAATGATCGCAAGAAAAACGCAATAAAATGCAGACAACGCCAAAAATTCACACGACTTGGCGGATAAAGGCACAAACAAAATTTAAGTGTATTTTTTTTTAAGTTTTGCGAAGAAGAACCAACGAGTAACGTAAGTACGTTAACTGTCTTGAAAAAAGTAACGAATAGGTTACTACGTTAATGGTAGCACCGTTACTTGTAACGCGTTACCGCCAACACTGAGCGAAAGTGACTCGCTCAGTGCCTGCTTGTGCGTCGTACGCACCAGATCAATTTCCTTGAGGTTGGGTCGGAAGCACGCGGTAATAAGGCTGATGGCAACTGGTCAGTCTACCGAGGGAGCAACAGGGACTATCGAGCCTAATAAATTACTTGTTTACACTCCATTAATTTTGCTTACCCTCCGCGTGACGAAGGTTTCGTGCCATGTGGTTTGTAAAAACGAATTTTCGACAGAAAATCGTGCTACATGAAAACGGCATGATTACATCTCGGCTTTTAAAACATTCAGTCGGTCGTTGACTTGGAGGAATGGATTGCCTTTGGTTTACCAGCCTGTGTTGAAACAAAAAATCAAGCGCCACAGCACCACATGCCAGAAACATAAAAGGTAACGCATCGCTTTAAGACATTATATGATCAGTAATTACATTCACATGCAATGTGTTGTTGCTAGAGATAAGTTAGGTTAAGTTACGTAAAGTTAATGCCTCTGTGGTAATTGACGACATTAGTGTGTCAGAGGTGCTTGGGAGACGAGGAAGGAAATTACACAGTTCTAGTACCATTGCAAAAAGAAGTTTGAAGGGAGTGGGACTGGTTTTCCTTTTCTCGTGTTCCCCTTCCCTCAAACCGCTTGACCACATATATCTACCTCTAACGTTTCCGACGGTTGGAGTTACAAACAGTAGTTACCCGGCAGAGCAAGTGCACGAAAGTTCATCAATTGTGTCATTGTCCGTGAGTTTCACATCCACAGTGTGGGGATCCCTGCTGAGAGCCGACGACCACAGCACGAAACTCCGCACGTGTACGCTCGTCGACTTGGTCATCGGGGCTTCAACGCTGCCCTGATTAATGTGCCCGGCATTCGCAAGTTGTTCGCCTTCGACACGGCACCGCTGTCCGCCGGCAATGTACTAGTATGCAATGGCACTGCAACTGAAACAAAACTGCATCACTACACCAACCACAATAGCAACATTATGTAAGTCTCCGGCCTCACATCCCTTGCCTTCGCGTGTGTCCACGATCATGGGACGATACAATCTTTTCGAAGAAACAAGCATTCACAACGTAAACAGCCCAGCTTAACCAAAAACAAGCCTTCATCGACGCGAGGATTCATACTTCAACGGGCGCCTTTTCGGGATCTCGGAGGCCAGACTCGTTATGCTTCCAACATCGGCCGCACGGTGGCTACTCTGTTCGATCTCGAGGCGAATAGTACTGAGTATTGTACTTCGAGCATAGAAAGATCACGTCCAAATGAGACGACAGCCCTTCCCCTCAGATGGTGCTTGCACTTGTAGTCCAGCGGGGTGTGTGGCAAGACACTACACTGTTTTCTCGTCTGCATTTTCTAGTAGCTGGTACGCGCTCCCGGCAAAGACCTACCTTCATGCCAAGGAAACAGAACTGGGACTATCGCCAACAGTCAACGAGAGCAAGCGGCGGTGGATGATGAGCGCAGTATGTCGGGGTGCCTGAGTCATCGCAGAACATCAATCTGCCCCAAGGAAAAAGTCACGGAATTATCGCACAGTGAAACCATACTTGCACTGTCAGATGTTGATAGTCGCATGAAACACGATTGGTTCAAGTGACGTTGTTGGCTACGGTACCTCCCCCTTGCGGTCAACAAAACCAAGCAGCAGTCTACGGCGGGGCGCAGTCCAGCGGGGTGTGGCGCAAGCCGTTTTCTAGTTTTCTCACCTGCATTTTCTAGGTAAGAATCTTTTCTGGTCAATCTTGCTTTCTTTCGTTTGCCGCCTCACTGGACTGCTCCCCTTTCCTGAATGCCTCTTGTTGAGTGTTTGAGCTGTTTGAAGTCAATTCCAGCAGATAGCCAAAGTCTGAAGTGTGTTGAATGTAATAATAGCTATCCTGTGGGGAAGTGTGCCGGGGTGACTAAGGCTCTGCTTAAAACCTTGACGAGAGAGGATTTAGGTACTTGGCAGTGTGCAACCTGTAAGATTCAGGAAGCTAGACAGACGACAAAGGCGGCTAGGAATTCCCAGGAGGCTAGTCGATTCAGCGTCGTGGGCGCAACTTCGGAAGAACCGAATGCTTCAGATTTATTGAAGCACATCCTTGCCATGAGCACAAAACTAACAGAAGTCTTAACCCGTATTAATAACATCAAAAACTCCATCGATGAGCAATCTGACAAACATTAGGCGGTAATTGTGAAGCTTACCAGTCCAGAAAAAACTGTGGAAGGCTTAGAACACTGGTTAGAAGTGATGGGAAAAGTGTACCACAAACTTCTGGAGAAGGTGAATGTCCAAGAAGCAGAGCTAAAGGAAATAAAAAATAAGACCACTGAGCTGAAAGGGACGATGTATAAGAAATACTTAGAAATCCAGGAGCTGAAGGCCGCAGTAGATGCGGCAGAGCAGTACTCAAGGAGAAAAAAATGTTTATATTCACGGGATCCGCAAAAAAGATAACGAGAACCTGATGGAAACTTTCCCGCAACTTTCTGCTAAACTGCAGCCACCTGCTCCGTCACATGACTGTATAGAAGCGGCACACAGATGAAGTCCAAGGGAAGGAAAAATCCCGCCCATGACTGTCCGCTTCAAAACGAGAGTGGTAAGAGACATCTGGATCTCCAAGAGAAGGGCTCTGGCAAAAAAAACGGGTATTTAATAATGAAAATTTAACAAAGTTACTTCGACAACTACTATAGAAAACGAAGTCGTGCGCCAAAGAGAAGGGCTACAAATTTGTGTGGATTACCAACGGAAAAATTGTGGTCCGGAAAGAAAATGCGGTTGCGATCAACGTGGAAAAGGAACAAGACTCCTCTAAAGTATGTTAATTATGGCTAAATCATTCCCATCATTTCAAGACTGGGACATCAACGCTCAGAGTGTGATAGAAGATGTAGAATGTTAGAATGGATCTTAACTTATTACATATAAATGTAAAAACTCTACGTAAACGCTGCGACCAATTAAATGTCTACTTAAGCAACAAATTGACGCGTCTTAATATACTTATTTTGACAGAAATCAATATAGATATAACGCGGAAGGTTTGGTGGTGTGTGTATCGAATCATCAGGTGTTCTTTGTTATCTGTGCAATATATAGACCATCCGGTGCGAATATACATTCTTTTATCGATAAATTTGACGAGCTACTCAATAAATTCCATAACAACAAATATTTAATTATGCTGGTGACTTGAACATAGATATTATGAATGCAGCCAGGTAGGTGTGTCTGAGTACCTGAATCTACTTGCAGGCTACGGGTTAGAACATGTAATTAATGATTACACTAAGAAAGAATGTTTAGGAACGCGCCTAGCGCGATCCTGCAGCGATCTTAAGTCAATTTCAGGGGTGATTAAGCAAAACGTTTCAGACCACTATTTTCTAGCTCTGACCATATTGGGAGTAAATTCTACATAATAACAGGATTGACAAAATGATAAGAGCATATAATTGGGGTTACTATTGGACTACGACCATATTACTGTTTATCAAAGGTTCAGAGACAAAATGAGGCCCATTTTTGAACAGTGTTGGAAAACAATGAAACTGAAACAAAGAAAACCAGAAAATGTATGGATAAATGATGAAAT